TCACTGATGAGGACTAAGGGACTTTGCTATATCATTCATCTATGCAAAGATGCACTCCACAAAATGACACCAGACTTGGAAGTAATTTAATGTTTCCCAGGAATAAAAACAAAGCTTACAATTTTCCAAATTATATTATAATTTAATATTTGAATGGACCATAAAGTTTTTTTTAGTTATGATTAACTAGACTGACATTTCAATTATCTTTTATAAATAAAGTATTCAGTACACCTCTCAGAAAAGCAACACTTTTCTTGAGGACACAGGAAAATTTGACCCTTCAATGTAGGGTGTCTGTAGTGTTTGAATATGTAATTTTCTTATACTTAAGAGATACAAAAAAATACAAATAGCACAGCATATCTGTTACTTTAAGTTATGGTTATTGCCTTTTCAACATGTCATGCCATTGGCTTATATTCAGTGTATTTTATTAAGTTTTTAAAGCTTCTATATATATTTTTCACTCTGAATAGACTTGCATAGACTTAAAAAATAGAATATTGGCTGTTAAAAGTTTTGAAAACACAGTGAGGACTGTAAGAGATATCCAGACATAAAATATGTTAAAATTCAGATATAAAGACAAATGAATGTTTGTAGTGCTCCTAATTGCCTATTCTAGCAATGGACAAAATGTTGGCATTTGATATAGACTGTATTTCCTAAAGGCAGCAGACTATAAATTAAATAGACATCTCAAATTTATAAATATATAAATTTATTGATTTAAAGTGATTTTCAATGTCAGTTCAATTAGTTTATGAGCAAATACGTGAAATATGCAATCAGAACCTAAGGCAAGGGACCTAAGGCAAGACCTATACAGAATATCACCCAATGGCAGAGATAGGAGTGTTGAATGTATATTTTAAGAAGCCAATGAATTGGATAAGCTGCTTTTGACAATAATTGCTTTAAAGACTCTTTAGCAAATATCAACAGAGTTGGTTTGAAATTTAGCATGTCTTTCCCTTTGAACATGGTCCCTAAAGGTTTTTGCACATGTGACAATATCTACAAACACAATTTGTTTCAGGTTGAATTTCTGTGATTAACATTTTCCTGTACTGTCTCTGACCAGAAAAATCCCTTTTACTGAACCACACAATTTAGTGTTCTTATCAGGACATTAAGATTAAAATAAAATGTTTTCTATGTGTTGTTTTCTTGTTTTGTTCTCTAAATGAAACATCTTTAAAGACTATTTAAATAAACTATGAAAATAGAAGGTTACAAATATAGCTTTTAGAGGCTATAGAAGTCAGTTAATTAAAGTTTATTGCAAAGATTTCTAATTATGAGAGGCACATTCTTAAATCTGTAATCTTACTTATCTAACTGGCATCAAAATAATCAAGGAATGTTTCACATAACTACAGCTAAGTGGCTCTAAGTCATTTGAAAATTTTTTAAACATTTGTTTAATTGTAAACAGCAAACAGTTAAGTCAAGGTTGTTTAATGTAGTTTCCTTAATATTTCTTAAGTATGAGAAAGGATTACAGGAAAGAAGAGGCAATTCACTGCAAAATTCCTCTTTATTTGCATGCTCCACACTGTACATGCACAGAGCAGTAAAAATATAATTAATATAACTATATTTCTTGGTCTCTGATATTTTATTTCCTTACTCACATAAGAGTCATCTAATGAACAATATTATGATGATGATGATTTTCTTTACCTTACTTGTGGCTCTAATAATATATTAACATTTTCTGATAAATGCTGATTGTCTAACTTGTCTTGGATAATTTGCAGATACACCCACTCATTTCTCCAAATTTTAGGTTAAATCTCCAGTTCCTTCCTCAAATCCTTCTATAACTCTGTAACAGACAAACTATTTAATATATACTCTTGATACATTAGTCACCAGGTATAATTCTTCAACTGGTCAACCTTTTCTTCATTCCTTCCACTCAGAATTCTTTCCTGTTTCCTAGTCTCATTTTGCCTAGTCACATTCTAGTCATCTCTCAGGACAGAACTTAATTTAAACGGTATTTCCTTAGGAAGGGCAGCCCTTATCCTCCAGATCTGGATAATACATGCTGTTAGAGCATCCAGATCTTCTCTGCTTTGTAGGACTTAACCACAGTACTGATTACATAGTTGTCAAGTAACTTGTGTGCATACAGTCTGCCTCCCCACCAGAGTGTAAGGTTTATAGGGGCTCACTCACCATTGTTCATATGTTGAATAAATTAAAGGTTTATGAGTAGCACATATTGCTTGTATGGTTTATTGCAAAAACAATGATATGTAACCTACAGATAATGAAAAAAATAACTTACTGTGGTCCCTTCAGTCCAATGAAATTGCTACGTGTTATCAGATAACATTGGAAATGTGCCTCTCAGGTGCTTTGAAGAGTATTTCCAAAGATACCCAAGTGAAATGATCAGAAATCCCTTCGTCTGTCTGCAACAGTGAAAGTATCATCTTTTTAAGGTGGTCAGTACAATGACAGCTGAAGTTTGGTTCTTGGACACTCCAGTTTCTACAAGATTCATTTTTACCCTGCACCAGGATCTGATCTGATCTGATTTTTCATATGAAAAGAGTAACTATACATCTATAGAGGAGTTATTTCATAATGTTACCCTTGCTTGGAGTATTTTCATTTTTAAAGATGTGAATCTCTAATGTCAGAATTTCAGGCACAAGGAGAGAGGGGCTTCTTGGTGTCTCCAAAAATTATGACATGATGATAGTCACTCATGCATGTAAGGCTGGTCATATATTTTATTAAGTATACATATGGCATATTTTAGTTCATTTTAGTAAATTTTAATTTTCCAAATAAAATTTAAATATATGTTGATTTATTACTAATCATATCTGAAAAGGTCAAATTAAATGAGCAATAATTGTTTCTTCAACAAAGATAAACCTATTAGGGAAGATTGCTTAATCATATTATCTCTCCAAAATACATAGTCTTGATATATGGATACTACATCTTATTCCATGCTTAATATATCTTCTGTTAAGAATAGTTGTTTTGGGATTTTTTTATTAGATAGTAGCAAAAATGCCTTAGAAATAACCTGCTAACAAAATACAAAGATGGTGATTTTGTAATGTTATTTGTCTTTTCTTTATTTATTAGATGCATTTCTGAAGACATCACCAAATTGAGCTTATGTGTAACATTTTGAATAAAATAGTCACATGCATTTCAAATATGTTTATTTAAAATTAAATTAGAATATTGAAGTAGAATATTAAAGTTTTCTTCCCACACATTTTACAAGTTTAGCACTATTTTTAACTTCGTATTTTCCAATAATTATAGATTCACAGAAATTTCCAAAGAATGTAAAGAGAGGTTCCATGCATCATTTACCCAACCTTTCCCAATGTTAACTACCTGCATAACTGTAGTACAACATCAAAACCAGGAAACTGACATTGGTAAAATCCACAGGACTCCTGTATTCCTGTGTGTGTCTGTGCAATTTATCACCTATGGAGCTTCATGTAATGACCATCACAATTAAGAATCAACTGTATTACTATCCCAAGGCTATCTCCTGTTACCCATTCACAACCACATCTCTCTAACCCTATTGCCTGGCCCCTGGTCACCACTAATCCATTGTCCATGTTTATAATTGTGTTACTTCAAGAATATTATACAAGTGAATCATGCAGTATGTCAAAATTTAAAATTGGCATTCACACTCACCATTGTGCCCTCAAAGTTAATCTAAGAGCTTGTATTAATATTTGTTCTTTTTTATTGCCTAGTTCTATTCCAACACTTTCAAAATACTTTTATTTAAAATATCATTATATGTCACTTTTGGTGTATCTTATGGACTGAATTTCATCCTCCCAAAATTCTTATGTTGAAGACCTAACCTTGATTCCTCAGAATGTGATCGTATATACAGACAGGGCATTCAGAGAGGTAATGAAGGTAAAATGAAGCCATTTGGGTAGGTTCTAATCCAATACAACAGTAACTTTATTAGAAAAAGAGATTAGGATACAGGCACACACAGAGGAAAGACCATATGAAGACACAGGAGAAGAGAGACATGTGAATGAATTCAACCCTCCTGATACCTTGACTTCTGGCCTCTGGAACTGTGAGTAAATAAATTTTTGTTGTTTAAGCCACCTAGTCTGTGCCATTTGTTATAGAAGACCTAGCAAACAAGTACAGTGTATAAAATAGTTTTGTCTTTATAAATATGTTTCATACATGTTCATGTACAATACTTTTATTACATAAGATAATCATTGCATATCCACATAATTTATGAGTACTTCTCAAAGAGAGTTTTTAAAATCTCTGAAGCTTTTCCTTTATCATGCTCTGCAATAAATTATGTTATGGAAGAATTAAAGAGAATATATGCTTATAAAATACCATAGGAATATTCACACCTAAGTATGTAGTAGCAAAAATCAATAGCAAAATCAATATAAATGGAACATTTAATTGAAAGCAATTGGATTTTTTTTAAAAAAGGCAGTTTAGTCACTTTTTACAAGCTGTACCTAAACAATAGCATTGGGGCATATTCCTGGATCATGGTTAAGTATGTTGACTAAAATCTTTTCACAATATAAACATGAGTTACAATTAACATAAATTCTTCTATTTGCTTTGTTATGGGAAAAAATGGCAGCATAAGTAGGGTAACTCAATTTGAATTCATTTAGTAACATCTCATTTATGTCTAATATGCATTGGTAAGTAATATGAATTGACTCATTAAGATAATTTTGTATAGGATTATATAAAAAAATAAACTCATAGACAACAGAGAGAAGCATTGTATATAATTAACCAAACTACTAAGAAGCGATATCAAAAATATGTTTACCTTAGGAAACAACAAGAAACAACAACCAGAAAATAAACTCTGTGATGTATAGAGTATACAATTGCATCTCAGTGAAGATAAGCCCACCAAGGACATTATGCATCAAAAGGGAATTATGGGTCTATTTTGAAAAAACAGTGGTGGAACTTACCGTCTTGATCTGTGGTCACTGTAATAGCTGTGAATGGCTTGGGAGAAAAACTTAACTCAGAAACTCCATTCATGGCTTCTATTTCAAAGGTGTAATTCACATGAGACACAAAGTCCAGAACTATCACGGAACTGTTGATAAGGCCAGTGTGTCTTGGGATGAAGCGGAGTCCTCCACCACAGTCCTCGCACTGGCTCGTGTCTGAGCCACACTTCTTACAGATTACACTGTATGTGAGGTCTTTTCTTCCTCCTGTGTCACTTGGTGGGCTCCATTCCAAAATAAGGGCCGTTTCATTGATGTTAAAAACCACATTCCTAGGAGCTGACGGTGGCCCTGGAGAAAAGTAATTAAAAAACAAATGTACATGTATAGGACAATAGAATTATGGTGCCAGCTTGAAAACTTCATCAATAAATACTTGTTGATCTTTTATATTAGTTTGAGCTCTTTCTTCTGATGGGAACCATAAAAAATACACATGATTAAAAACATCTGAGAAAGTTTAGTAAGAAAAGAGTCTTTAGGAGTGAAGATAGTCTATAATCTAACTTTTTGGTACATGAATTTCAATATTTAATATAAAAAGCTGTAGATCTCCAAAAGATATGGTAATTATCCTCTTTTAAATTTGGTGAGTGAAAATATATACTAATCAAACATTATTTTAAATTATGTTATAGTTTTAATTACATCTTAATAATTATTTCACCATTTTCAAAATTTGAAAAAGTAACATACATGTGTTATAACAATATGTGTATATTATTATATGAATATATATGTATATACATTCTGTTGTGTTTAGTCTTTCTGGCTTCATATTATGCTTGGTATGTAGATAAAACTACCATTAGTTACCTTCAACAATCTCTAAGTATCTATTTCTTACAGGAAGAAAATAAATGGCCACAGCCCTGGCAGGTATGGCTCTGTTGGTTGCATATAATCCTGCAAATCTAAAGGTTGTGGGTTTGGTTCCTGGTCAGGGCACATGCCTGTGGGTTCTGTACCCAGTTGGGATGTTTCTGAAAGGCAGCCAATCAATGTTTCTTGCTCACATCAATGTTTTTATTCCTCTTTCTCCCTCCCTTCCTTTCTCTCTAAAATCAATAAAAAAGTCTTTGGGTAAGGATTAAAAATAACATAAGATAACATAATATAACATAACATAACATAAAATCAAATACATTTAGGGTGAATAGACAGTTTAGGAAAAGAGGAAGAGAAAGGGAAACTGGAAACATGAGAAAGGTTTTTATTAGGGCCTTGCTAATTTTATGGGATAAAAGCATTATATGAAAGATATAAAATGTACAAAATATAGTGACAAGCTTTTTATTTAGACTAACTCTATTAAGCACAGATGTCCTTTTAAAAGCTGTAAAGAGCCCTGGCTTGTACAGCTCAGTGGATTGAGCGCAGGCCTGCCAAACAAAGGATTGCTGGTTCAATTCCCACTAAGGGCACATGCCTGGGTTGCAGGCCAGGTCTCCAGTATGGGATGTGAGAGAGGCAACCAGACATTGATGTTTCTCTCCTTCTCTTTCTCCTTCCCTTCCCCTCTTTCTAAAAATAAATAAATAAATGAAATCTTAAAAAAAAGAAAACCCTTTTAAAAAAAAGCTGATAGACACACACGATCTTCTTATTTGTCACCAAGACTACATTAACCAAGTGAGTCGCAAGGAGTTGATGAACGTATTCCTACAGTGTTCTTTCAAAACTAGTTTGCCATACAGATCACACTACATAGAATACTTAAACCCTCTAACTATTCCAGTCTTTTTTGAAAATGGTGTCAATGATCTTTTACACATATGTGAATTCTTCAAACTTCAGTTTCATATAAGTATTGACCAAATATTAACTGAAAGTCTACTAGGTGCCAGACAGTGCACTATGTGTTATATGTGAAATAAAGCATCTTTTTCTGGAAGAGACTATACTTATAATTCATACTTTGAAAATAATTCACTGCATAAATAACTAATGAGATATCATTCCTGCCCATTTTTAGAAGGCTTACATGTATTTGTAAATCTGTAGCAACTTTTAAAATTTCTGCTCCTAAGAAAATTTGCTTACAAGATGGGAAAGAATTTCTTTACAACATTTTCTCCTTATAAAAAATAGTTTTAATATAGGCTCCTTTTGGGTTACAGTCATTCATTCACTAAATCAATTTTTAATGACTTTTATGTGTGCCAGATATTCTGCGAGGTCTTGGATTTATAGTGTGAATGTGATAGATATTTCTGCTTTCTTGTTATTTACATTTTAGTTGAATGGCTAGATAAACTCATACGTAAACAGAATAATAAAAAAATATTGACTTTTTCTGTCTGACTTATTTCTCTTAGCCTGATATTCTCAGGATCTATCCATATCACAAGTGGCAGTATTTCACTTTTTCTTATGGCTGAGTAGTATTCTATTTTATATATATATATACCACATCTTTATCCAATCATCTACGGAAGGATACTTTGATTGTTTCCATTTCTTGGCCATGATGAGGCAATGGTTTTTAAGAACAGCATTCTGTCTGCCAGGTAGGGAATGGTTTGAATGAGGACAGGGGACTCCTCAGTGAGATCTGTTTATGTGGTGTCAGAGTAGCTGAACATTAGTCATAAATCTACATGATTGTATCTTGGGTTTGAGATAGTAAGAAATGTTGTGATATACTTTCCTTTCTCTTCTTGTTGCATACTGAAATTAGCAATCTGATGGGTAGGGTCCTTAGCTCTCTCTATGTCTATCACCTAAAGGTAGACCTAGAAATGAGATGGTTGGTTTTTCTAAAAGGTTTCTGTGTATGTTGCTTTATGCCATTTCATGTTCCAGAGAGTTGCAGGAATGTCTGTGTTCAGAAAGGAAGATGTGGAAGGGATTACATACTAGAGCACAGTGTAGCCTTTTACCTCCAACCTAGATGGTAGTCTGGCAGATGAAGATACATTATCATTACCATAATAATGTCTTCTTACAGAATGACATATTAATGTTATTGCTCTTTTGTCTTATTTATAATGGAAAACATGAATTATTATTCACTTATATTTCCAGGAATAGGAGAATGCTATCAATTACGTTATGGGTGTCTGCAAGTATATAACTGTCCTCTTGGAGATACTTAAAAGAAAAAAAAAGGCAGACACCCTTCTTACTCAAGGGCCCTGATATCAATTTGCATGACAATTAAATAGCTTTTTAATTGCTGTTAAATTATGCCAGCTAAACTGTGATTTCATGCAAATATTAAGCTGTAATGGCATGCAGTGAATCATTTACTAAGATTTAGAACTTGGAACAAAGAGAGACAATTAATTCTAATCCTCACATTCAACTAAATTATGTGTCACTGGGCTTTTATTAATGTGGCCTGATTGCTTTGTTATCATTTATAAATTATACAAAGATTATGTGACACATTGGGGGGGAAAATCCCCTAGGACCGATAACCCTTTTGGAGACATCTGTATTGAAAATTCTTAGGGATTTCCTTATGTTGATTTTTTATTTCTCTAAAGAAAACAAATAAATCACATGGAAGAAAAACAATCTCCACACTTCAATCTCCAGACTGACTTGATAGGAAAAGAGTAATTATTCTGATTGGCAAATAGCTGTTTTCCAAGCTCACCATAGAATAAACCTTACCTGAAAACTACAATTTTATCTCTATTAGTATATTAGAAAATATATTTTCAATCATTTTCCTTTTTTTGCTTCAATTTGGATTTCCCCCAGTGTACTTTTAAAGAATGAAGAAATAGTGCTCTAATAGTGAAGTAATGAGAAGATTGTGTCTCTTTCTTTCCCAGAAAAGCATCTGGCCCTGTAACCTCCATCTTCCTCTTAGAGTAGCAGAGGGAAGATGGACTATGATTTTGTTTTTTATTTCATTTTAAGTATTTTTCCATGTAAAATGTTTTTAAACAGATGGGTCATTCCTAAAATAAAATATACCCTGTACAATATCTTTAGTCCCATGAGATATTACACAAAATAAATGAGCTCAGTGCTCAAATTAGGATTCCTTTGGCAGATTCATGCTGTAACAAAAGTAAAACAATTTGCTCCACTTTGTTTAAGCTACCATTTCCCAAACTTTGCTCATAGAACCTCATTCTTCAAGAAGCATCTGGAGAAACACTAGCATTCTGCAGAAAACCCTTAAGTAAAAGATGACACAAAGGGAGAGGAAACTTAAGGGTCATATTTCAGTTACTACACCAATTGCTGTATATTTATATCTTATGTTCATAACTGCAAAAATGTTTTAACTCATAAACAAACAAGGTCTTTTTGATGTTGACAGGAGAGTGACTATTTGCCCATTAGCTCTATATCTAACTGTAGTATGCAAATGAATTTTTTAACTTTAAGAACAATAAAATGTTGATCCAAATAACTGAGGATGTCAAGTTATAAAAGGCTATTGACTATTAAGCTAAATTTTACCAGTTTTTAAGTTGCTACTTGGCAATTCTTTAAATACATTTTGTTAATTTAACAGACAATGATATGGGGATTGACTGAGAGAAGGAAGAGGGTGGTGCTGGGTGAAGGTGGGAGAAAGGAACAAAAGCAGGAACAACTGAAATAGCATAAAGAATTAAAAAATTAATGACTACCAAGAAGGTAGTACAATTTTTTAAATAAAAAGCAGATTTCTTCATATCTGTGAGTTTACAAATGAGAGAAATAGTTCTGTGTTAATTAATGTATGTCAGAGAGAGCATGAAAAAATTTTGGACCATCTAGAAATGCTTAGGTAAATTCTTTTGCAAATGAGTAAATTGTAGAAATAGTCGAAGAAAGATAAATGCATAGGAAAAAAAATGAAAAAGAACATAGCTAGGCTGAGATAATGTACTAAAAATATAAGTCATCAGATCTGTATATAAACACAATTTGAAACTCTAAAAGTCATTCTTTGTATTATCACAATTAATATAAATTTTACCCATATTGTTAATCTAATGTCTTTTCTTTTTTTATTATATTTTATTGATTATGCTACTACAGTTGTCCCAATTTTCTCCCTTTCCTCCCCCCACTCAGCCTCCCCATCACTCTTTCAGAAATCCCCACACCAATGTCCATGTCCACGGCTCATGCATATGTGTTCTTTGGCTACTGTATTTCCTATGTCGTTCTTTATATTCCCGTGACTATTTTGTAACTACCAATTTGTATTTCTTTTAAAATTTTTTTTCTAAATTTATTTTTTAGAGATAGGGGAAGGGAGGGAGAAAGAGAGAGAGAGAAACATCAATGTGTGAGAGATATGTTGATCAGTTGCTTCTTGCACACCCCCAAGTGGG